AGGGGTTAGGGCTTGGGGTTTGTTTGGTGCTATGGGCTTACTCTGTTATTGCATTACAATGTCATGTATGACTATGATATTATGGATATTCGATTTGCACTCAAAACTCCAAAGGCAAATTCCCCAAGGGAGCCGCAGAGAGCGGAAGCTCCGATTCAGCCCTGAAAGGTCTTGAACCCTCTACCCCCCTGGTGCCCCCCCTCCCCTCCAGACCCTAAAGCCTAAGATGAACTGAACCCCCAAGCCCTTAAACACGCTGGGTCCTGAACCGCGAAAATCAAAAGCACCCTCTGCAAACCCTAACTACCCCCAACTCCCCCCCCCCCAAAATCCCAGACTGTAAACCCCTAAAAGTCCTCGGCTCCCTAAAACCTTATAACCCCTATAAACAAAACCTATAAGTAAACCCTTTATAAACTTAGACATGCTGCCGTAGAGTCCCATCCAAAACCTGTCAACGCCAGATAAACCTTGTGCAAACCCATAAAAACCCCATACAAGCCCCCACACAAACACCATAAAACCGCCTGGTGACAAAAAGCATGGCGACCCCATATAAAGCCCGTACAAACCTAAAAAACACCACATAAACCTCTTCTACCTCCAGATAACCCCCCACCCACCCCCGCCACAACCCTAAACCCATACAAAGCACAGAAATGCTTAATACCAATAAGAATGCTACTACAAATTGTAAAGAAAGAAGAAAAACATAAAATAAACTTAACTTAAACGAGTTTTATTAACGCCCCTGCCAGGTGGTTTGCCGGCGCGAGGCCTTCTTCACGGGGGGGAGGGGGGGTTAGGGTTTAGGGTTTAGGGTTTAGGGTTTAGGGTTTAGGGTTTAGGGTTTAGGGTTAGGGGGGTACTCGACATGTTTCTGAGTGCTCAGGGGCTTAAGACTTGTGCTATTTTCTGATATTTTTGGGTGGGTGGGTGGGGTGTGTGTGTGTGTGTGCGGAGTGTAGGGTTGAAGCTTCAGTTCGGGCAGCGGGAGGTTTGGGTGCGGGGTTCAAGATTCACGTCTTTGGGGGGGGGGGGGGGCTGATCCCTCAACCCTAAACCCTAAACCCTGAACCCTGAACCCTAAACCCTAAACCCTAAACCTGTATGCTTCTCTGGATATGGATATTTAGGGAGAAGCCACAAGACTCCTTCCTTCAGACACGTGCCTTGACGTATGCCGGGAGTCTTAAGGGCCAGGAGTATTTTGGGATGTTCCCCCCTGAGACTAACAGTCCTTAATGGGGATTCTAGCAGCCCCCATTATACTCCCTGCTAAGGACTGTTAGCATAAAAGGGGGAACATCCCCAACAAGGTATTCCTCCCCCCTAAACCCTAAACCCTAAACCCGAAAAGTTTTGGTATCCTCTCCGGAGGTTTCTGAAGCCGAGACCCTCCTAAACGCGTTGAGGCTTTGGCACTTGGGTATTGGGATGTCCCCCCCCCCCCCTATACTGGCAGTCCTTGAAAGGGATTATAGTGGAGGGTAATATAATCCTTAGTCAGGACTGTTAGTATAAGGGGAACATCCCAACTTGGGTAGTGGTTTAAGTTAGGGTCCTTTTCCAGTCCCAAACAAAGTACGTCACGGAGAAGTACTCATTAGAGATTCCAGAGTGGTGGCTTCAGGGTTTAGGGTTTAGGGTTGTGTGCGTTATCTGACCCAGAGAATATTCAGGAACTACTTTAGGGTCCATTGTAATATCCCTTACCCTAAAGCCTAAACCCTAAACCCAGGTCTCCGGGGTAAACCCTAAACCATAGACTCCTAGACCCTGAGGATTTGGATGCAGGGAGCTGAAGTCTCGGTGCCCTCAGTTCCATTGTGGATGGGAATCCTGAAAAAGCCTTAAGCCGTATACCCGCTTCAAAGAGCTCGAGAGACAGCATGAAAAACCCGCCCATCACCGAACGAGCTGCGTATCGGCCTGAACTCTAAACCCTGAACCCAACACAGTACCCAAGCAGGAAGATGTTCATCCGAGACCTTATTCTAAAACCCGGAGAATCTCCGTCAATCCCTCAGCCACTTTCCAAACCCTGGAAGAAGTCTTTTGCCCTTTTTCTTGCCTCAAGAACTTTTCACTTCTCAAAGCCCTTAAAAGTAACAAATCCCCCAAACTCTTATGTAAACCCTTAAAGCCGCAGCCCACGACAATTGCAAGTCCGTGGGAGTCCCAGTTACTCTTTGCATGGGCTAGTTTGGGGTCTAGGGCTTTTTGTTGCGTTGCATTCCTTACCTCAGGGGTTTAGGGTTTAGGGTTTACCTGGACCCTCTGTGTACGCGAAAAAACGGCCACAAGCCAATCTTACACCAAAAACAGCCAAGATTCTCAAAAACAAGCATTTTTGACCAAAACAGCCATGACAAACAAAAACTGCCTTTTTCCTATTGAGCACGTAGCAAGCAAACGTCCTCGAGTTGAACACCGCCACAAATTTCAAAATAGCCTTTTTTTGGGCTGCCTAGCCAGATTCCGCCCCACGGGCTGTTTTTGGGTCCATGTCTTGAAAAAGGCTGTTTTCATGGAAATGCTGTTTTTTCACGTAATTTGAAGGCTCCAGGTAGGGTTTAGGGTTTAGGGTTTAGGGTTTAGGGTTTAGGGTTTAGGGTTTAGGGTTTAGGGTTTAGGGTTTAGGGTTTAGGGTTTAGGGTTTAGGGTTTAGGGTTTAGGGTTTAGGGTTTAGGGTTTAGGGTTTAGGGGCCCTGTTGGGGAGGATATGTTCAGTCCGCGCAACCTCGCCAACGTGGCGATCGCTCTGGCCCTGCGGGGGGTGCGGGACGTGCCCACTGTCGAGTTCGTGAGGAATGAGGCCCGCAGACGGTTTAGGGCTCAGGATTTAGGGTGTGTAGGTTAATTGGGCCAGGGGTTTTTTTTTATAAAAGGTGTGGCTCGGGCCTCCTTTTTTTAAAAGGTGTGGCTCATCCCCCCCCCCCCCCCCTCTGGTCCCCTGGTCCTCTGGTCCCCTGGTCCTCTGGTCCCCTGGTCCTCTGGTCCCCTGGTCCTCTGGTCCCCTGGTCCTCTGGTCCCCTGGTCCCGTGGTCCCCTTGGTCCCGTCGTTTGGTCCCGTGGTCCTCTGCTCCCCTGGTCCTGTTGTTCCCTTGGTCCCGCAGTCCTCTGGTCCCCTGGTCCCGTGGTCCCCTTGGTCCCGTCCCCGTGGTCCTCTGGTTCTGCGGTCCTCTCGTCCTGTGGTCTCGCAATCCCTGATCTTAATTTATGATATAATACATCATATACCGTAAAATATATAGTTTGCAATGTGATATATATATATATATATATATATAATATTATATATATATATATAATATATATATATATTATATATTATATATTATATATTATATATTATATATGTATAACATACAGTACATAGCATATACTATAAAATGGAGGGGCTGCGCCCCCCCCTCCCCAAGCCCCCCGCGTTTGAAGCCGTGCAACCCCCGCTTTTTTAAGCCGTGCAAGCTTGCTTCAATGCATATGAATCTTGAAACCCATCATGCAAGCATTGAGTTTGCAAATGGGGGGGGGCTGCGCCCCCCCCAACCCCCCCGCTTTTTTAAGCCGTGCAAGCTTGCTTCAAAGCATATGAATCTTGAAACCCATCATGCAAGCATTAAGTTTGCAAATTGCAAGCAAGTTTGCAAATGGGGGGGCTGCGCCCCCCCCAACCCCCCGCTTTTTAAAGCCGTGCAAGCTTGCTTCAAAGCATATGAATCTTGAAACCCATCATGCAAGCATTGAGTTTGCAAATGGGGGGGGCTGCGCCCCCCCCAACCCCCGCGGTTTTTAAAGCCGTGCAAGCTTGCTTCAAAGCATATGAATCTTTTGAAACCTACATGCAAGCATGAGTTTGCAAATGGGGGGGGGCTGCGCCCCCCCCCCCCCCCCCCCAACCCCCCCGCTTTTTTTAGCCGTGCAAGCTTGCTTCAAAGCATATGAATCTTGAAACCTACATGCAAGCATTGAGTTTGCAAATGGGGGGGCTGCGCCCCTCCCAACCCCCCCACTTTTTTAAGCCGTGCAAGCTTGTTTTGAAGAATATGAATCTTTTTGAAACCCATCATGCCAGCATTGAGTTTGCAAATGGGGGGGGCTGCGCCCCCCCCCCAACCCCCCCGTTTTTTTTTAGCCGTGCAAGCTTGCTTCAAAGCATATGAATCTTGAAACCCATCATGCAAGCATTGAGTTTGCAAATGGGGGGGGCTGCGCCCCCCCCAACCCCCCCGCTGTTTTAAACCGTGCAAGCTTGCTTCAAAGCATATGAATCTTGAAACCCATCATGCAAGCTTTGAGTTTGCAAATGGGTGGGGGTTGCGCCCCCCCCCCCCCCCCAACCCCCCCGCTTTTTTTAGCCGTGCAAGCTTGCTTCAAAGCATATGAATCTTGAAACCTACATGCAAGCATTGAGTTTGCAAATGGGGGGGGCTGCGCCCCCCCCAACCCCCACCGCTTTTTTAAGCCGTCTTGAAACCTACATGCAAGCATTGAGTTTGCAAATGGGGGGGGCTGCGCCCCCCCCAACCCCCCCGCTTTTTTTTAGCCGTGCAAGCTTGCTTCAAAGCATATGAATCTTGAAACCCATCATGCAAGCATTGAGTTTGCAAATGGGGGGGGCTGCGCCCCCCCCAACCCCCCCGCTTTTTTAAGCCGTGCAAGCTTGTTTCAAAGCATATGAATCTTTTTGAAACCCATCATGCAAGCATTGAGTTTGCAAATGGGGGGGGCTGTGCCCCCCCCAACCCCCCCGCTTTTTTAAGCCGTGCAAGCTTGTTTCAAAGCATATGAATCTTTTTGAAACCCATCATGCAAGCATTGAGTTTGCAAATGGGGGGGGGGCTGTGCCCCCCCCAACCCCCCTGCTTTTTTAAGCCGTGCAAGCTTGCTTCAAAGCATATGAATCTTGAAACCTACATGCAAGCATTGAGTTTGCAAATGGGGGGGGGGGCTGCGCCCCCCCCAACCCCCCGCTTTTACATATACATTTACATTTACATTTACATTTGCATTTACATATACATATACATATACATATATATATATAGATAGATAGTGTATTATATATCTATATATATATATACAATACTAAATAGCATATTATCGTATACAATTTTGAAATAATAAATATAAATCAACAAATAACTGTATATATATATATATGTATATATATTATTTATTTATCTTTACATGTTTATATAAGAGCATATGATTTATATCCAACCTCTGAAAACACAGAAATGCTGCTATTTACAGTATTTGCAGTGTCTGACAACGCAGAAATGCTGCCATTTACAGTATCTGAAGCCTCTGAAAACACAGTAATGCTGCGATTTATGCCCTTCGTTGCAGCGTCTGAAAAACCCAGAAATGCTGCTATATACATTTGATGTCAGAAATGCTGCTACGTACAGTATTTGCAGCCAACGCAACGCAGAAACTCTGCTATTTGCAGTACTTGAAGCCTCTGACGCAGAAATGCTGCTATTTACAGTATTGGAAGCCGCTGACAACACAGAAATGCTGCTATTTACAGTCTTGGAAGCTTCTGACAACGCAGAAATGCTGCTATTTACAGTATTTGAAGCCTCTGACAACGCAGAAATGCTGCTATTTATAGTATTGGTGCAGAATTTGCAGCCTCTGACAACGCAGAAATGCTGCTATTTACAGTATTTGCAGCCTCTGACAACGCAGAAATGCTGCTATTTACAGTATTTGAAGCCTCTGACAACGCAGAAATGCTGCCATTTGAAATATTTGAAGCCTCTGACAACGCAGAAATGCTGCTATTTACAGTATTTGCAGCCTCTCTAAACGCAGAAGTGCTGCTTTTTACAGTATTTGCGAAGCCAAGCTGAGCCACACCTTTAAAAAAAAAGCGTCCGAGCCACACCTTTTAAAAAAAAGAACCCCCCCGCCAGGTTAATTGGGGCAAACCCAAACCTTAAACCCTCAACCCTAAACCCTGATTCGGGTATGTCAATCGGGTGTGGGCCCGACTCCGCAAGTTTTGCCCTGGACTCGGAACTGAAATGGGATAGATGCCCTTTTTTTTTTGTGTGTGTGTTTTTCTCTTGTTGGGTTTAGGGAGATCATATTCAAGATTCCAATATATCGTCCAGGACCCCAGTTAAGCCTATATTTTCGCTTTTTTTGGTCTTAGCTTCCCGATAAGTCCCTTGCATCCAAAAAGGGCACCCTAAACCCGAAGCCCTAAAGCCTTGTCATTCCGAGGATGCCCTTGGGTCTAGATTAGGTACATCAATTCCCCTTCGACAGCTTAACCCTAAACCCTTTTAACCCTTATTTGGGGGAAAATAAAAGTAGGATTCCCTTGTAATAAGGACCCCAATAAGGTACCCCTAGTTTCGGAAACCCCCATATATATATATACATATACATACCCTTGGTCGGTTTAGGGTTTAGGGTTTAGGGTTTAGGGTTTAGGGTTTTGGGTTTAGGGTTTAGGGTTTAGGGTTTAGGGTTTAGGATCTGTCAAAGGGTGTTGAAAGGGGCCAACCTGTCACCACGACTTGACGGAAAGCTATCGTTGGTCTATGTTGGGCGTCACAGCGCAAGCGCCTGAGTGTACCCTAAACCCTAAACCCTAACCCTAAACTTGGGATGTTCCCCCTTTACTAACTAGGGATTGTAGTACCCCCCCCATTAGAATCCCCATTGAGGATTGTTAGTATAAGGGGGAACATCCCAACCCGGAACCCTAAATACCCTAAACCCCAAACCCCAAACCCTAAGGGGAGTGCCCTAATATGGTTTTGTGTACGGCTTTTATTGGGTTGATAAGTACCATGAACCTCCAAGCAGAGGGTCTCTTTGTAGTACCAGAAGGAAACTACTCGTAGGTATCCCAAAAAGTCCTGACTGGATATGGTACCTCAAACCCTAAGGGTCCCTGTGCCCATATAGTACCTACTTGGCCTTAAAAGGGGCTCCCATTTAGTAGCTTTAGGGCCCAAGTACCTAGTATATGGGTACATCCCTAAACCCTAACCCCTAAACCCTAAACCCTAAACCCTAAACCCTAAACCCTAAACCCCTTTCCCTAAACCCTAAACCCTAAACCTTAAGCCTTAAACCTAAACCTTTCTGTGGTGCGGTCAGAGGCGATCAAGCTGATGGACGACATGGAGCCGCAACATTGCAACTTGCTGCTGGAGGAAGCCACCCTCCGCTCTCCCAGACTACACATCACGAGACCCGAAGACTAGACCCCACAACACACTTTGTCATAGTTGGGTACCATTTTACATCTTTAAGGGTACTTAAACTCAGTAAGGAAGATACTATTTTTATTGCTATCCCAACCATGAACCAGATTATCATAGCCTAAACTTGGGATGTTCCTCCTTATACCAACAGTCCTTAATAGGGATTGTAATAGGGGGCATCATCATCCCTATTAAGGACTGTTAGTATAAGAGGGAACATGGCAAGCCTAAACCTCCAAACCCTCAACCCTAAACCCTGGAGCCCCAGCCCTACACCCTGAACTCCAGATTGCACAGCAGAACAACAGAGCATCGAGCAACACTCCGCGCCAGGACACAGCCCCGAAAACCCAAACCTTTTCTGGATGCAGGATCTTCCCTAGGAGCCTCTCAACCCTAAACCCTCAACCCTAAACCCTAAACCCGCAACCCTAAACCCTCAACCCTAAACCCTCAACCCTAAACCCTCAACCCTAAACCCTAAACCCTAAACCCTAAACCCTAAACCCTAAACCCTAAACCTAAACGAGCCGCTGGAGACCTGCAGACTCCGTCAAGCTCTCGGCCCAACCCTTGGAAGGCTACTTGGGGCTTGAAAGCTTTTGACTACGAATTGCTTTAGAACCCCATCAACAAATTGATATTCTCAATTATACGGTAATATAGAACCTATTTCAGTAACATTAAAACCCTCAAAATAACAATGAGATTCTTGCCTTTAAGGGTGATATAGGGGTTATTTGTGTTTTTGTTTGTGTTTTTGGGGTTCTGAAGCAAACAGTAGTTGAGGGCTGCACCGACAGAATCCAAAACCTATTCTTTGCGGGACGTGATGATACCACACTTTATAGGGTTTCTAGGCAAATAGCCTACAAACAAGAAGGGTTCGGGTTCAGAAGGTACAGTAGTTAGTTCGGAGGGTTTGGTCGGAGGCCTTTCGGCCCTAAGAGGTTTTTCCATGCATCTCGGTGCAAGGGGGTTTAGGGTT